GCAGTGCAGTGTCACATCCCTGGGAAGGCACTGTCACATCCGTGACAGCAGGGAAAGGCAGTGCAGTGTCACATCCCTGGGAAGGCACTGTCACATCCGTGACAGCAGGGAAAGGCAGTGCAGTGTCACATCCCTGGGAAGACACAGCCATACTCTCTGTGACAGCAGGGAAAGGCAGTGCAATGTCACATCCCAGGGAAGGCACTGTCGCATCCCTGTGACAGCAAAGTAAGGCAGTGCAGTGTCACATCTCTGGAAAGGCAGAGCCATATTCTCTGTGACAGCAGGGAAAGGCAGTGCAGTGTCACAGCCCTGGGAAGGCAGAGTTGACCACACTGAAGCCAGGAGACACTTCCAGTGTCATCGCTGCCAGTCTCCACTTCCAGCCCCTGTCACTATTCTTTGGGCTTGCCAAGCCCCCCCCAAGCTCTCCCCACGCCTGCTCTGCACTGTGCACAATGCCCTGCTCCAGCAGCACTAATTTTCTGGGAGAAGCTGTTCCCTGCTGATTATGCCTGTTCCCGAACTGCTAATGACTGTTCCCAAGCTGATAATGACTGTTCCCAGCCCAGCTGGGCACAGGGCTGTGATTCCTTTGGGCATGGACACACGGAACTCTCCTAGGGCAGAGGAGGGGAACGGGGAAATGACAGTGTCTATGCTCACCTGGGCAGGGTGACACATCGCCCTGATAGAAATTTGTTGAACTCAGGACAGTCTCCTGGATCCCAGAGTGGTGGGACTCGTGATTCCCAGTGCTGCTGCTCCCACAGCCCTGTGTCCACCCCTGTCGGAAAAAACCCTCTCACGGGAATACCAGGGATGTATTTTAGATCCACATAAGGGAGCGCAGAGGGACGTGTCTGCTCCTGGGTTTGGGTCAGACTAGCAGCCAGGCTTTCTCCTAGTGAAGCCCTGGCACAGTCCTGCCCGTGGAAGAGCTTTCTGTGGAATTTTTGGGTGTTTTTCTCCCCCAGAGCCAAGGTTGCTGTCAGTTCTCTCAGGACACACCTGCTGTGCTTCCCCCCCGTGCCGAGCAGGATCCAAGGCTCCAGGCCCTTCTCTCTGAGCGCGGCTGCCAGAGCCATTTTGGGCCGGGGCAGGTGGGGAGGTGACGAGGGGAAGGAGAAACTCACCTTGAAGGACGTGGCCGAGCTCCTGCGGAAGAAGGAATGTCGTCGTGTGGTGGTGATGGCCGGAGCCGGGATCAGCACACCCAGCGGCATCCCGGACTTCAGGTGATGCCTCTGTCCTCTTTGTCCTTTGCCAGTGCTGGGGGGGCCGAGTCTTCTCCATGGAAAGGGTGGTTGAACATTGGAAGGGGCTGCCCGGGGAGGTGGTGGAGTCCCCATCCCTGGAGGTATCCAAGGAACAGCTGGACGTGGCACTCAGCGCTCTGGGGTGGGTGACAAGGTCATGATCGGTCACAGGGTGGGCTCGACGACCTTCGGGGGCCTTTTCCAACCTAAATGATCCTGGGATTCTGTCTCCAGCCCAGGTAACGCTGGTGCTGCAGCCCCTCCCAGCTCCCCCCTGTCCGTGCAGGTCCCCCGGGAGCGGCCTGTACAGCAACCTGGAGCAGTACGACATCCCGTACCCCGAGGCCATCTTCGAGCTGGGCTATTTCTTTGTCAACCCCAAGCCTTTCTTCACCCTGGCCAAGGAGCTCTACCCCGGCAACTACCGCCCCAATTCCGCCCACTACTTCCTGCGGCTGCTGCACGACAAGGGGCTGCTCCTGCGCCTCTACACCCAGAACATCGACGGGCTGGAGAGACGTGAGTTCCCCCTCCCAGCAGCACCACCAGGAGGAGCTGGGGGGAGAAGCAGGACTGGGGAGATGTGCACGGGGAGCGTCTGGCTCAGTCCTTTCCCACATGCTATATTCCAGTGGCTGGGATCCCTCCCGACAAGCTGGTGGAAGCCCATGGCACCTTCGCCACTGCCACCTGTACGGTGTGTAAGAGGAACTTCCCCGGGGAGGACTTCAGGGTGAGTGGGCCCAGCCGGGCATCAACGCAGTAGTTAACACCAGGAGGCGTTAATTGTTATAATAATGACAGGTCCTCGGCCTGTTCTTTTGCCCTGGAAACAAGAGGGGATGAGACTCTGAGCTGGGCATTTCTGTGAGGACACGTGGTGGTTTCTGACCCCTGCGATGAGCAGTTTTGGGGTCTCTCCTTTCAGGGGGATGTCACGGGGGACAGGGTCCCTGTGACAGGCAGTTTTGGGGTCTCTCCTTTCAGGGGGATGTCATGGGGGACAGGGTCCCTGTGACAGGCAGTTTTGGGGTCTCTCCTTTCAGGGGGATGTCATGGGGGACAGGGTCCCTGTGACAGGCAGTTTTGGGGTCTCTCCTTTCAGGGGGATGTCATGGGGGACAGGGTCTCTGACAGGCAGTTTTGGGGTCTCTCCTTTCAGGGGGATGTCATGGGGGACAGGGTCTCTGACAGGCAGTTTTGGGGTCTCTCCTTTCAGGGGGATGTCATGGGGGACAGGGTCCCTCGCTGCCCTGTGTGCACCGGAGTTGTGAAGCCTGACATCGTGTTCTTCGGTGAGGAGCTCCCGCAGCGCTTCCTCCTGCACCTGGCAGACTTCCCCCTGGCAGACCTGCTCTTCATCATTGGGACATCCCTGGAGGTCTGGGAATAAGGGGAGCCCAAGGGGGAAAAAGGCGCTCGGAAAACAGGGGCTCCGGAGGGGAGAGAGGGCTTAGAGGAGAAGGCGAGAAACTGGGTTTAGGGAGGTGAAATCTGAGGTGGAGGGTAAGAAATAGGGTGCAGGTGCTCCGAGAGACCCTCTAGAAACCAGGAGGGCACCTGGAGAGCCTTGGGGTCACTTCAGGAAAGGCCACCAGGTGACACCGTGACCCATCGAGAGCCGGGGTGGCTGAGCCTACAGCGGGGGAACCATCACACACTCAGCAGTTCTGAGCCTGGAACTGGTGGCTGTGGCAGGGTGACGGTCCCCCTGCCCTCCCGGTTCCCCCCTCAGGTGGAGCCCTTTGCCAGCCTGGCCGGAGCCGTGCGCAGCTCCGTGCCCCGGGTCCTCATCAACCGGGAGCTCGTGGGCCCCTTCGCGTGGCAGCAGCGCCACAACGACGTGGCCCAGCTCGGGGACGTGGTCGGGGGCGTCGAGAAGCTGGTGGAGCTGCTGGGCTGGAACGACGAGATGCAAACACTGATCCAGAAGGAGAAAGAGAAGGTGGGAAGGGGCTCTGAGCCCCACCTCCCCCCTCAGCCTTTGCATTCCCTGTGCTGGGGTTATCCCGGGAGCGGGTTTGTGCTTGCTGAGGCTGCCTGCTGTCTGCCTCCACGGGGAAGGACTGCAGCAGGGCTAAAAAACCCCAAACCAACCCAAACCTGAGTGCTGTTTCACAGCCAGGGTGCCAGAGCAGAGTGCTGTGGGCTGAACGTGTCCGTGGTAGATGGGAAGATGCAGATCTGCCAGTCCCAGATGAAATAGGAATGTGGAAAAGGGCAGGATTTCGCCTTTGATCATTTCTTTCCCTGTGCCATTCTCACATCTGTAAACTTCTGGGATCTTCAGGAGTGAGAAATTGCAGGGGAACAAGTCCTTAATTATTAGAGTTCAGTGCTGCTGTTAATTACTGCATTGCTGTAGACCACTGGGAAGATTTTTCCATATTTGACATCAAACAGTTGTATTTTTTAGGGATACACTGCCCATACGTGATTTCTTCATAAAATCTGGCTCCAAGATTCCAGTTTTTAGATCCAGGTTGTTCTCATTTTCATCAGATCGTGAGGCAGGAATTGAGTAGGAATTCTTAAGTCTTTTGGCCAGGTTTCTGATTTTTTTGGTACAAACGTTCTGGGGTCCAGCCAGCCCTTGGCTTGATGCTTGTGCTGCTCTGAATCCCTGATGGATAATGCTGATAGAGAAAGAAAACTAAGGCCAGGTTGGACAGGGCTTGGAGCAATCTGGTCTAGTGGAAGGTGTCCCTGCCCATGGCAGGGGGTGGAACGAGATGAGCTTTAAGGTCCCTTCCAACCCAAACCATCCTGGGATTCTGTGAAAGCTGCGGGGATGGTGCTTGGAGCTGGAATGTTTGATGCTCCCTGGCAAACGCTGTGCTCTCCCTGTTTTCAGCTGGATGCAAAGGACAAGTAGGACGGTGCTCCTGCCACCCCTCAGCACATCACTTGATGATGTCCAGCCATAAATGTCACCAGCAAGTGGCAGGGCGCTCGTGCCAGCACGTCCAGCGAGCTCCGTGTCTGCAGGTGGCCGTTTGGATCTGCCTCCTTCCAGCTGTCCATCCCGGAGCCCCTTGCTGGGGCTGGTTCTAGGGAGCAGGAGCTGGGAATGCCAGGAGTCTGGAGCAAGTTTTCCAGCTCCAACTGGACTGAGCATCCGAGGTCTCTCCCCCACAGCCACTGTTCCCTTGGCCACGATCCTGAGCTGCTGCAGACTGTGTTGGTTCTTCCATGAAATCTCTGCTAATCAGGGTGCAGTCTGGGGGCAGGGGGGCTGCCCCCCATTCCCATTCCAGCTCAAGCTGCTGCGGGATTTCTGAATCACTAGAGTGTTAATTATTTAATAATAAAGAGATATAATTCATTTCTGGATGTCACCTGAGGGGTTTTCTGTAAAGTCACACCTTTCCTGGGGTTTGAGCACGTTCTGTCCCCACCACTTCTCTCTTGACCTGCTTTTTGGTACATTTTTTTCCTTTTTCCCCCCTCACACAAGTGCCTTTCCCTGCTGTAGATGCCACCCTGAGGGGTGGCATTACCACAGCCCTGCAGCCATGTCCTGCTCTGTCCCAAACCTGCCACAACACAATGCAGAGCCTCCTGGCACATGGATCCACACTGAAAACGCTGGGGACTTGTTTTTAACAAACTTGTTTTTTTGCTTCCCAAAAAAAACCAATTCCATGATTCTGTGAATGCCTCATGCAAAGTGCCCTGTGCCAAGCCCAGCCCCTGCTCCGGGGCATTCCAGGCCAGGCCTGGCAGCTGCTCTGAGGGATTTAAAGCACTCTGGAAAATTAAAACAACAATATCAGAGGTAATTGCATTAAAAACACCAATCCCCCCTTTTCCTTTTGCACGGAAAGCTTGGGAGAGCTTCAACAGCTGGGAAGGGATCAGGGTCTGTGTCTGCACCCACAAGGGCTGTGGTGGGTTTTTTACTAGTTAAAAAAAAAAAAAAAAGAGAAAGATGCTGTTGGCCCAAAACCTCCCACTGTGACAGAGCGGGGCTGTGCCAGCCCAGCAGCCCGGCCGTGACCCTTGGGGGTCAGTTTTACATCAGTTACTGGCACTTCAACCATTACTAAACAATTCTTTATCACCGAGGAGCTAAACAGAATCCCAGAATCATCCACGTTGGAAAAGACCTCCAAGATCATCGAGTCCGCCCTGTGACTGATCTCCACCTTGTCCCCCAGCCCAGAGCACTGAGTGCCACGTCCAGTCATTCCTTGGACACCTGCAGGGGTGGGGACTCCACCACCTCCCTGGGCAGCCCCTGCCAATGCCTGACCACCCTTTCTATGAGGAAGTTCTTCCTGATGTCCAACCTGAACCTCCCCTGGCACAACTTGAGGCTGTTTCCTCTTATCCTGTCCCTTCTTCCCTGGGAGCAGAGCCCAACACCACCCCCCCCCGGCTCCCCCCTCCTGTCAGGGGGTTGCAGAGGTTGAGAAGGTTCCCCCTGAGCCTCCTTTGCTCCAGGCTGAGCCCCCCCAGCTCCCTCAGCTGCTCCTGCTGCTCCAGCCCCTTCCCCATCTCTGTTTCCTTCTCTGGACACACTCCAGCACCACCTCCTCGCCATGAGGGGTGGTCACAGAGCTGGACACAGCACTGGAGGCACCTCAGGAGTGCCCAGCACAGAGGGAAAACAGAGCAAAGCACCTCTCCAGCTCTTCCCCTCCAAGACCACGCTCAGAAACACCCCCAGCTCCTAAGGACACACAGGCAGGAACACCTGGGAACACCTCTGCCGTGGGTTCCCAGGGATTTCCTCGCGGTCGAGGAATCACAGCCACGTGCCCACGTGTCAGGTTGGCTTTATTCAAGCGTCACTTGTGCATTCCTACTCGTGACAGGACATTTGGGAACTGGGGTACATGAGACGAACGGGAAGGTTTTCTTTCAAAAGAAAACAGAAGTAAAAATAAAGACAAATCTACACCAGGCCTGAGAGCGGCCCCTGGGGCACAGAGAGACCCGGGGACAGCGAGGAGGAGCGAAGGACGGAGCACAGGTGTTGGCCTTTCCTTTGGAAAGTGGGATTTGGGGAGAGGCGAATGCCCAAACCCAGCTGGCTGGTGACAGGGACAGTGCCCAGTGCCAGGGAAGGGCCATCAGAGCATTCCCAGCAGCCACCCACACGCTCTCTCCCGTGGCCAGTGGGATGCTGGAAGCTTCCTCAAAGGCCTCGCTCAGTTTCCCTCTGTCCGCCCACGGGCTCCAGGTGCACACGGACACCGGTGCACTCGGACACAGCCTCCTGCACCACACCCTGCGGATCCCACTCCCCAGGAGCTGCTGTGATTCATGGCCCACACCCCTCTCCAGCAGACCCCCCCTTCCCACAGCATTCCCAGGGAGCAGCCCCCCACTGTGGGGCCGGGCACACGCAGGAGGCTCCGTGGATTGACAGACCCTGATGGAGCGGCAGGAAGAGCCTCTCCCTGACACTTCTTCCCAAACAGCACGCATTTAAATCAAAAAATCCTACTGGAAAGTCCCGGAAGCGATTTGGAGTGTGAAATCCTGAAGGCTGCCGACAGGAGAGATCAAGGTGGAGCCAGGCCACGGAGACCTCTGGAAGGAGAGGTGGCTATGGAGCTGGGAAGGAGGCAGGTGTTCCGTGTGGTGGGCTGTGAGGGATCCAGGCTGGATACGGATCCTGCAGGGAGAGTCCTGGCCCAGTGCCAGCCTCTGGGTGCAGCACCAGTTCCCGAGGGAGAGTGGCTGGAGCCCAGCTCTCCGTGGCTGGGGCAGGAGCCGGGTCAGTCCAGCCCCAGGTCCGAGTCGGACGACGAGCGCTCGTCGGCCATGCTGCGGATGGCGTTTTCCATGGGCGCCAGGTTTCCGCTCGGAGTGATGCCCATGGGCTGGATCACCTTCTCCCTGCAGCCAGGAAAGGTAAGGCAGAGCTGCTGGAGAGCAGAGGAACAGACCAGGAATACAGTAGGAATGCAGGGCTTGTGGAAATGGCCCGGAATACCCAAGGCACCACTAAGGATCCCTTCTGAGAAATGGGGACAGTCCCAGCCCTAAAACCTCCAGCGTGGCAAGGCAATGGCTGGAAGCACAATCCACAAACAATACCATTCCCATGCTCAGGTTCCCTGGAACAGGCTCATTTCTAGAGTCCTGTTCTGTGTGGTTCAGGATTCCCACAGGAAAACTAGCACTGGTGTCTGTGTTCCTCTCCCTCTAACACGTGATGGGAGTACACGTGTTACTTCCCTCCCTTCCTGAACAGGAGCACCTGTGAAAGATGAATGAGGGATGACTGGAGAAAGCTTTCCAGCAGAGAAAGGGGCTGGTGGCACTGGCTGTCCCCAAAATGCTGCTTCCTCCTGAGCAGCCTGGCCAGGACTGAGACCGCTGTCCTTCCTGAGTTCCTGGACAAACATGGCAAGCAGGTGTTTGGGAACAGCGCAGGCACAGCAAGGAATTTTGCAGTGTCCCATCGTGCCAAAGCTGAGGGAAGAGTTTCTCCAGGTATCCCCACCGCTCCCTCTCCTAAGTCCCTTCAGGCCTTGGGAATGCAGCCAAAGGAAGGCCTGTGACAGATGTACCCCCGACACGCAGGTGTGGACACGGACACACACCCACGCCCCGGTACCTGGACAACTTGTCGAACATATTGACCAACTTCATGGCTTCGTGCTCCTTCTGCTCCTCTGTCATCCCTTCCATGGGGTTGGGAAGCTTCTCCTCCACACGGCCCGTCACGGGGTTGATGCTGCGCGGACGACAGTGAGGTCAGGGCACGGGAGAGGGGACAGCAGGGGGACAAAGGGCTGCCTGGGATCCTCCTGTGCCTCATGGAGCAGAGGAATGGCACGGCAGGGCTGGCTGTCACCTCTGCTCGTGCCCTTAGTGCCCAAGTGCCATCACAGTTCTATGGGGGCTTCCAACCTACATCCTTAAAAACCCTGCCCATTTCTCCAGCAGGAGCAACACCCCCTCCTGCCAATGCCACAGTGCCACTGGAAACTGGGTGCACAAGGCCAGGTGACACTTCCTCCCTCTCCTCAAGGTCGGAGGCAAAAGCTAATGGAGAAAATCCCAAGAAACCCAACCTGCAGGGACACTGAAAAGGAAGCTGGTGAGTGCGGGATACATAGGTGGGCACAGACCTGGGGCTGTCCCCACACACCTCCCACCCTCCAGGTACCACCCACTGCAGAGTAAAAGAGAGGGAAAGGGCAAAAGAGAGGGAAGGGAAAAAGAGAAGCCAAAAACCAGCTGGGTGCAACAGCACTGGGCTCTGGAGAGGGAGAGGAGCCATGGGCACGTGGAAGAGCAGGACAGGGAGATGGCAGGAGGCAGATGGAGAGGGATAGAGCAGGAATGGGAGGAAGATGTGGAAAGAAGGGTGCTCTAGAGGGGGAGCAGACTTCTTTACTTGGGCTTTGCCTCTTTGTACTCCTCCGTGTCCGTGTCTTCATCCTCCGAGTACTCCCCCTCTTCCCGGCCGCCGGCCATGAGGCCCCGCGCCGCCAGCAGCCCCGCAGCGTTCCCGTACCCCGTGTACTTCACAAACCGGGACACTGCCGGGAGAAGGACAGAGACCACGCTGTGCTCCCCCTCCTGCCTCCAGCCCCACGGTCACACCAGGCCACAGAGACCCAGGGACACTGACAGGGGGACAGCAGCCACGGGCGGGGGGCTCAACGTGGGCCAGGCTGTCTGCAGGGTGCTGGGGTGGCCCGAGCACAGCTTGTTCCTCACTGCTGGTCTGAGAGACAGCACCTCCTTCCCACAGAGCTCCCGGAACCCTCCCCTTTTCCCTGTCCCCAGGGGAGGTCCCTCACGGAGGGACCCCATCCAACGCACTCTGGCTCTCCCGGAGCCCACCTTGAGGGGCCCCCCCGTCAAAGCCCCCCCAGACCCCGGGACTCACCGCTCTCCTTGCAGAGCACGAAGAGGAACTCGGCGGCGCAGTGCTTGACGTCGGTGTCGATGTGGGTCATGAGCCTCACCAGCTTGTTCCGCAGGGAATTCCCCACCTCCGGCCGGTTCCGCACGTCCCGCAGCGGCGGCAGCACCTGGGGACGTGGGAGAAACACTGTGGGTGCCAGAGGCCTCAACCACCCACGCGAGAACCCGGAGGTGTGTGGAGGGCAGCCATAACCAGGGGTTTGCTCGTCTCCTCTCCCCTCAGGGCAGCGTCCCTGACCTCGGGGCTGAGCACAGCGTACCCTGGCCTTCAGGAACTTCCTGGTCTGGCGGTGGACACGGGCACTCTCCGTCAGCAGGTTCAGCACAGGGGTCAGGCTCTCCTTCAGCTTGTGGCCCTGCAGAAACATCCCCAAAAGGAGCAGCACGTCAGTCATGCCGAGCTCAGCCTGTCCGGCTCACGCTGGAGAACACGAGTACGGTCTGCCGGGGAGACGGATGGACACAAAGCTTCCCGGTCCCTGCCACAGGCATTCAGTACCTCCTCCCTCCCCACACCACACAGCTCGCCATGGCACAGGCAGTGCCAGAAATCCTTGGGCAAGGCATCCGGGGCAGAAAAGTGCAGTGGTAAAATTCTGAGGCCCTTTGGGATAACTCCCGAGGCTGAAAACCACGGTCAGCTTGAAAATAATGCAAATTCAGGCCTCCAGAGGCTTTCACTGCTGAGTGAAACAGGGCTAATATGTCAATCACCCAGTTAATCATCCATTGTTCCACTGATCTCACTGATCTTTGAGGGCCTGCAGCCCTCAAAGCAATGACAGTCACCTTCCTGTCCATGGATGTTGGTTTAGTCCCATCGACCACAGCTCTGCCAAGAGCTGCCCTTTCTACAACCCCAAACCAAGCATGCTGGCACTGGGCTCTTCCAGGCTGAGGAAAAGGTGCCCTGAACCTGTGGGAAAGAGCAGTGAGGACCCCCCCCAGCCCTCACCCTGTCCAGGCGGCGCTCCAGGAAATCCAGGAGGATGCTGACTGCATCCATGTTGACACCCATGTACTCCAGCGAGCCCGGTCGCACTTTGGGGGTCAGGAGCACATCCAGACACTTGAGGGGCAGGTTGCCCAGCAGGTTGACTGTGTGGCTACATGTGTGAAAGGGAAGAGAAGAGAACACATAGTGATGGAGCTTTGCTCACACGAGTCCTTCAGCTCTGTGGAAATGAAGGTCTGTCATTAACTTCCAGGAGTGCGAGGACCCCGCGATCCAAGTTGTCTTGGAGCACCCCAGGCTCCACACACCACTGAAAGGGAATAACTGAAACTGCTTTTTAGGCAGCTGAACTGTGTGCTGGGGACTCTAAAGAGACTTCAGTGACAACTGAGAACCCAGGGGATTTGACAGAGCCAGCCTGGGTGATCAAAGGTGCGTCTCTGTGTTGTCCTGCTGTGTCACTCCTCCTCACCATGATGATCCAACACCAGCACTGCTTGGTTTTCCCCTGACTGCGTGTTCTTGGGGACAGAACCGTGTCACCTTGCTCCAAGCAGACACCCCTGCACCAGTAATGCCCGGCAACATGACACAGCCAATTTCTCAGCATGGCTTAAGGCTAATTAAGGCCACCTCACGGACTCTTCACCAAAAGCAGCACAAGTCTGCTCTGGCCAGTTGCCCACTGAGATGGCTGTCGCTGTAGGGACAGCCTGACAAAGGACATTGGAAGAGGATCATGTGCCTGGGGGAGCCCTGCTCCAGGGGCAGCTCGAGGCCCAGGTGGTTCCCAGCACTCACCTGTGGAACTCCTCAGTCCTGTCCTCGCCGTCGGCCGAGATCATGAGGCAGTGGCGCAGGAGGGCACCCAAGTGCCGGTACAGAGCAGCATCTTCCTGGCCCCAAAATGGAAAATGGAAACCTTGATCAGCAAAGGGGATCCCACACGTCCCAGAGCCTGCTGCCCCTGCAGCCACAGCCTGATCATGCACAGCGGGGTGTTCAAGGGGAAGCAGCCTCCCAGTTCTCCTTTTGGGGCCAACACGTGGTCTTCCAGCTGCCCGACACACTTCCACTCACTCTGTGACACTGAGTTAAGGGCTGGACTAGGCTCCAAAATGCTCCATGGATTAGCCAGAGGGATGGTGTTCTCCATCACACCTCCTTCTGACCTTGGCCTTAAGGTGAAGAGGTACCTGGCCACACTCAGACATGAATTATCTGGGGGCTCTGCTCTCCCTCTCGCTCAGCAAATCACATCATTAAGGGAAAATCCCCAACTTTTAAATGGGAATGCTCTAAATGCTGTAAGGGTTAATACTGCACTGGACAGAGGCAGTGCCTGGGGCACACCTGAGTCCCTCACCACTCTGACATGTACCTGGGGCTGCACGAGGACCAGTCGGGGACAGGAGGAAATGCAAGGGAGGAGAAAAGCAGCAAAGCCAGATCCCGGGGACGGGTGAGCACCACAGACCCGAGGAGCTTACCTCGTCCACTTCCCTCTTGCTGGAATCAAAGGTGATGTTGAAGAGCACTTTGAGGATCTCCATGGCTCGCTCCGTCTCCTGCCGGGGCAAAGGCGGGAGAAGCCCCTCCTCGCCGGCGACTTCGTAGGGGTCCAACCACTTCACGCCGAGCGTCAGCTCCAGGGTGTCTGCCATCAGGCTGACCCCCCGCAGCTCCTGGGCGAGCTGCTGCCGGATGTCCACCCTCAGGGCCGTCAGCAGGAACAGCAGGCGCAGGTCGAAGAACTTGACGTCGTGAGGGAGGCTCCGCTCGTTGTAGAGCTTGATGCGCCGCGCCAGCCCCACCACCAGCCGGGCCTCGGCCGTCAGCTCCTGCGCCCGCGGGCTGCTGAACACGATGTTGCACAGGCATTTGAGGGATTCCAGGATCACGTCCAAGTCCGGGACCTCCCGGATGAGCTCCTCCGAGTAGTCGATGCCGGCGTGCCTGGAGAGGGTCTTCAGGCCTTCCTCGGTGGCGAAAGGGCCGAGGCAGTGCTTGTCCCGGGACAGGATGCGGATGCTCTCCAGGCAGGTGACCTGGCAGGACGGCTGCAGCTCCCTCTCCAGGAACTTGATCAGCAGCTGGGCCATTTTCTGTGCAGTTGGAAACAAGCAATGCCTGGGATACCAACAATTCCCAGTGCTCTTTCCAACCCTGTCACGCTCTGCCCTGGACAACGGGAGCATCACCTGGAGGTGGGTCTGCTCAGGTGTGCACTCAGCAGCACTCAGGAAGTGCCTGGCTCTGGCATTGGGTCCTGCACCAGTTTGGGCAAGAACAACCAGCAACACATGGCTGGGAGAGGGTACTGGGTGTAAAGGGAGGGCACAAACAGGTCACTGTTGTAGCTTTGCCCTGGTGAGGATGGTTCAGGCTGAGAGGGTTTGCCTGACCACTGGATTAAGGGCAAAAACCTCCCTCAGCCCTTCACCTCAGGGCTTCCCTCAGGAGTCACCATGCATTTGACAGCAGCTCTCTGCTCCTGTGCGAGATCAGGGAGGCACCTGCTCCAGAGCATCCACAAACAGATGGAGAGGTGGAGAGAGGCATCAGAGAACCACCAAGGGAGGGCCACAGGACCCAAGGGAGATGAGTAGAGCACATGATGCCCTGGGAAACGGAGGTGAAGAGACCTCAGGAGATTCAAATAAAGCAGCATCTCCTTAACCCCAGTGCTGCCTGGAGACCTACTGGCCCAGATCCTCCTTGGGTACAGACTGGCAGAGCCCCACTAACACAATTCACGGGAGCTGCAAAGCTCCTCCCTGTGGGGAACGGTGAGTCATGGAGGAGCACAGGAAAGGCCTCACAGCCACGGGCAGCTCGGGCTCAACCACGTGTGGCAACACTTCACATCACACCAGTAATGCCCACACACACAGCTGGGTGAGGTGAGAGCTCACCAGACCTCTAACACAACACGTCTGAAACCACGGATCTCTCCGTGATGTTAAAAGAGCAAAGGAACCCGAAAATGAGGTTTGCAACTGGCTAAACGCAGCCCCATCAGTTACACTTCAGAATAATCAGAGAATTGTTAAGGTTGCAGCCATTAATTGTAATCATTTAGGTTGGAAAAGATCTCCAAGGCCACCGAGTCCAATCTGTGACCCATCCCCACCTTGTCACCCGGCCCAGAGCACTGAGTGCCACATCTAGTTGTTCCTCCAGGGATGGGGACTCCACCACCTCCTTGGGCAGCCCCTTCCAGTGCCTGACAACCCTTTCCGTGAGGAAATTCCTCCTGATGCCCAACCTGAACCTCCCCTGGCGAAACGAAACTACTGAAGGAAGGAAGGAAGAAAAAAGGAACTTCAGTCCTTAATGTGAGGCTCCTGGAGTGCCCCATGGTCACACCCTGGGGAAGTGAGGAAATACAGCTGTTCCTCTGCTCCTTCCACGCAGAAGGCAGAGACAGTTTCAGATCCAGACGCAGCGAGCAAAGCCTTGGGCTGGCTCAGGGGAAAGAGACCCCAGGGCTGAACCACCGGGACACCCGAGCGCCAGGAACTGGTGGTGATGCTCGACTCATATTTCACAGCAGGCACCCCAAAAGCGGGACACTGTGCCTGGATCCATGTCCGGCAGCAAAGAGCTCGGATCTCGTCAGATCCAATCCCACACTTCGGGCTGTGCCTGGGCACGCTCCGCGTGGCAGCAGCTGGCACTGGCTCAGCCAAAGGAGGTCCTGTTCTCCACCCAGGTCGCCTGGTCTGCACTTGCTGTGCTAACATGGGCACTGGCACCATCCACCAGTGAACTGACCGCAAAACTGAGCCAGCTGGAAAATAATCCTGGGAACCCAGAGTTGTTCTTGCAGCAGAGCAGCCAGGACGAGGCTGGTCCGGCAGGAAGAGCTGCAGGAGCAGGAACAAGCAGTTCCTTCCCTCTGAGTGCCAGATCACACCAGCTTAAAGGATCTGCTAATACACAGTTCCAGGTAAATCCCACTGCTGGCTCCCAGTGGAACCCCTCACCCTTCCTGGGAGCCTGGGGATCACACCCATTACACCCATGGTTGGGACTGTATGGATCACAGGACCACTGCTAAGGCCAGATGGATGTTGACTTTTACCCAAAACACCAACTCCTGCTGGAAAAATCGGAGCCAGGTGCTCCAAGCGCACCATTCCCTGCCCAAGTTAATGGCAAACTCTCATTTCTTTCCCTGTGGGAGCTGCCTGCCAAGCCCAGCTGGACACAAGTATGGAGCAGCAGATTTACACACCGACCAAAGAGGAAAAGCAAGGAGCATGTGCCTACCTTCCTCTCCTCCCGCTCCTCATCCTCGAAGGTGAAGCACTGAGACTTCTGTGGAAAAAGCAAAACAAATCAGAGTAAGGAACAGGTTAAAACTCCACGGAACGAGGGCATTCCGCTGGAAAGCAGCAGGTCCCAAAACACGCTGCAACAGCAAACACACCTTCTCCCGACAGTCCCTGCCATGACAGGCATCACCCCTGGATCCACGGCACTGGCAGAATGCCATGGGTCAACCGATGGATGGATTTAGATTAAATCCCTCAGCAGCACAGTGGGTACCCATCCCAATCCCAATATCCCCTATGAGCCGGTAATTCCTCAGCTCAGTGACACCACCAAGCTGATGCTGCACACATCTCCCCTTGACATTTATTTGTTCCTTTTCCCGGCCTAAAAAAAGTGCTGTCTCCTTGGTACATGGCAATAGATCTTCGTGGTTACCCAGGTCAAGTTCTTTCAACACAAGGGGCCTGATCTCCACAGGTCCCCTTCCTAACAAACACTCCTGCTCTCCATTCACGGGAAACATTTCTGTTTCTGCCTTTTGGTTGTTCTTCACTGACAGTCTCCTTCCTGGCTCACCTGGAAGTCTCACCTGCTCCCATGGAACCTGAGAGCACAGGAGACCACAGGCTCCTGGGGAGAAGCAGCACTTCCCAGTGAATGAGGCTATCCTTGTTTACACCAAGAAAACCTTTGGTCTGAGCACGGAGAACAAAACTGTTTAAAATCCATAAAACACCGATGACGTGTGTGCAGCCACCAAGAGCCCAGGGATGGCTTTGGTCTGTCCAGCCTGGAAGCAGCGATGGACACAGCGACGCCCCAGGAGCAACAGCAGCCCCAGGGGGTGGGGGCAGGACAGGTGTATTCCCATCAGGCTGTGTGAGCTGATCCAGGCTGTTGGATCACATTACCAGTCCCAGCACTGCTTTGTTCCCCAGGCAGCCAGGCTCGTTCTTCCCCCAGCACGTCCTCTCTGCAGGCCCCAATCCCTTTTGGGGGTAATTTGGCCATACCTGGGGGTTTTGCTTTAGCTGCAGTTTATTCCCAGCAACCAAAAAACCTTTGTGTGTGCAACAGTGAATTAAAATAAATCCCCAGGAAAGGTTGCAGAACCATCAGTCTTGCAGCAAAAGCGATGCCAGGCCATGCCGGCTTTATGTGCAGTTTCATAATCCTCTTTGACTGCTCCATTTCCTTCAGACGGGCCAGCAAACCCTCTGGCTCGAGTTCCATATGCCTGATACACCAGGAAGGACCCAGCTGGGGGGGATCCACGGGAAATGCTGTGGTCTGGGGGCCTTGAGCCGGTCACACAGATGCTGTTTGCACCTCGATGACTCTGGTGTGGCACCCGCTTGTGGGTGCTGCTAACCCTCAGTGCTGTCCTCAACAGGGGTCTGTCTGCTCCTCCTCGTCCAAGATCTCCCCATTCCAAATCCGACTGCTACGAACAGTTCCACACTCCCTCTCTCACACACGCTTCTGCAAGATATTCCTCAGGTTTTCCCTGCTGGCTTCCCACCTACTCCAGCCTGGTGCAGAGTGAGTCACAGCGATCTGCAGGGCCAGCCCCTCCCGGGGGAACCCTCCGAAGGAAATTTCCCTGACAACCAGAGTCTGTTTCAAGCGGGATTTCACGGAATCACAGAGTCTCCTCAGTTGGAAGGGACATACAAGGATCACTCAGTCCCACTCCTGGCCCTGCTCAGCCCCAACAATCCCACCCTGTGCCTGAGAGCGTTGTCCAAATGCTCCTTGAGCTCCAGCAGCCTTGGGGTCGTGACCACTGCCCTGGGGAGCCTGTTCAGTGCCCAACCACCCTCTGGGGGAAGAATCTTTTTCCTAATATCTGTCCTAAACCTCCCCTGACACAGCTCCAGCTGTTCCCTCAGGTCCTGTCACTGGTCACAGCGAGCAGAGATCAGTGGTGCCCCTTGGAAGGAAGCTGTAAACAGCTGAGGTCTATCCTCAGTCTCCTCTTTTCAGGGCAGAAATTTACCCCCAGAGATAATCTTTTCCCACTTTATGGCTAGAAACACTCCCAACTCTGCTTCCAAATCGTCGGGTTTTGATATTCAGAGCTGTGCAGTCACCTCTAATCACCTTTGACTTGCAAATCCTGACGTTGTTTCACCTGCAGCTCCTCCCCGGCCTGTTTTATCACCCCCAAACCTGCCTCAACATAAAGGCTCCTCCTACTGGGTCCTTACACTGACTCTTATTTCCCTGCCAGGTTTTACTTGGCATGTCGATAATAATGTTTTTAAGAGCCCCTGACACCAGGGAGGGGTTGATGCTCACTCACCTCCTGGTTGTAGACCTGGAGCACCTTGAGAACCGTGTCCTGCTCCCCGCTTTCCAGCGTGGTGACCACAGCCCTGAGCTCCATTATCCCAACAGCTCAGCTACGGCACAACTGGGAGCGAGGGGACTTCCAGGGTGATGCAAAAGCACCTCGGCAGACAAATATCTGAGAGGGAAGAGAGAAAGGGGTGGGGAGAGGAAGGAGGGAAAAAACACAACACACACACACAAAAAACCACAAGTGATATTGCTCACGCTGCTGCATCCATAAAAGCGGAGCAGATGGATAACCCGAGCAAAGCTAGCACCAGCTTCCTCTCTCTCCCGCTAATCCTCTTCTTCCTCGCTTTGCTTTTCAATGTTTAATACGTGCCCTCCCAGGAAAGCGCTCAGGGAAAGCCTTCCCCCCACCAGCCGGGGATTAACGCGGAGCAGATAACAGCAGCTCCCTGAAATAGCTCCCTGCCGCCTCCTCCTCCTCCTCCTCCTCCCCGGTTGCCCTGATTCCTGCTGCCGCACAGGGGGGAAAATAACAAATAAACCCAGCAACATTCCCGCGGAGTGACAAGGGATGGAGCGGCGAGGCAGCCGGGCGGGAGAGCATCCTCCGGCTCCAGGCGGAGGTACCTTTCCAGGAGGTGGGAAGCAGATGAGGAGGGTTCCGCGGAGGGTCGGATTATGGCCGATCCCCGCACGCACAGCCCAAACGCGCGTCCGGAGCCGCCGTCCCCCGGGAGATGATGTCCCTGCCGCCAGTGCCAGGGAGCAGATGCGCAGGGACACGGGAGATGGGATTATTTCAGTCACGGCCCCGGTTTAAGGGCTCAGGGAGCCACGCGAGCCCGCGGTGCTGGGACGTGACTCCCGATGGGGGGAAATCCGGCAGATTTGGGTGCACAGGTGGACTTGGATACACGTTCAGCCTTCGTGTTGCCATGGGCCGTGTTCTGC